TGATGATCTTCCTTCTAATATGTCATCAGAAGGTCAGTGGTAGCCTAATGCTACTTTACAATGCTTATATCATTCATCTCACTTAATTTCATCATAATAGGCATTGTATCATGTCACACACCACAGGAAGAGGAGTGAACACACCACAATAAGATATTTTGAGAAAAAAAGATCACATTCACATAATTTTTGTTACAGTATAGTTATAATATTGTATTTTATTATTGGTTATTATTTTTAATCTCTTATGGTGTCTAATTTATAAATTAAACTTCATCATAGCTACATATGTATTGGAAACATACTACTATATGTAGGGTTTTGCTCTATCCTTAGTTATAGGCATCCACTGTGGGTATTGAAGCATGTCCCCCAGGGATAAGGCGAAGTGTTATAGTTTTAACAAGGGAAACTCAAGATCTGCCTTTAGACAGAAAGCAGGAAAGGAAAATGTCTTTTTCCTTCATCTACTGTTGCTCAATTGAATGCAGCTTGAATTAATCTTTATGATAAAGTGGCATATTTTGAGGTAGCAAATTGTAGTTCCTCTTTAGCAGAAGCCCAGAAAACATCAGGACCAAGGCAACTCACCTGTTCTCTCAATTCCAAACTGCCAGAAGAATCTGATTGGCACCATTACACGTTATGGGTCAATGGTTAGCCAATGCATTGGCTACATTTGGATCAGGTCCCCAGAGCAGGGGTGTTATGACCAGGATACGTGGTCACAGGTCATGCTGAGCTGCCTCCTTCAAGGACTGGGGATATAGGCACTAGAAAACATACCTAGTACACATGCCATATGTCTGTTATATGTACCAGATATTTCATGACTTTTGGATTTATGAAATATAAAATTTTCATGACTATACTATGTTTTCTAAGAAACAGAGCAACCTAGATGCTTTGAGTAGATAAAAAGAAATAATGATCTGACTTTCAATTACTTTCCCTGATATACAAGAGTTTTACAGACTTAGCTATGAATATGTCAAAGCACACATAGACAGTCTTTTTCACACACTCTTTCTCATAATCTGGTACCTTTCTGAGACCTTTCTGTTTCTGGAGGTTACATGGCAAAAACCTCTACTCTGCTCTGCCATAATTTACCTCATTTTTCCACAGTGGATGTCCAATCTCATCTTTTTTTCTAATTATTTCCCAATATTATTGCTTCCAATTTCTCAATGTTAGAAGTTAATTTTTTCCAGGACTAATAAATGACTTATTGAATATTGGCTTTCCTTAGCATGGAAAGTATACTTCAGTAATATAAGGCACTGTGAGGTACACACTCATGATTATGATGAGTCTCAGCCTCTAGGAGAGAAGGTTCATACACAAGTAACTACAGCAGGGGGTAGAGATGTCATATGCCACAGTAATATACTAAGGCAGAAATCAGTCTCTCTAGAGGTGACAGGATCAGGAAACTTTAAGAAAAGACCTTGCAAGTAACTACTGGGCTAGGTCTTTAAGGTAGGGGGAGGATGTGAATGTTCAGAGAATGGGGTTAAGGGCATAGACAATCCTGAAGCTACCTGAGTGGAACTATTATTAAGCCTTAGGAACCCTCTTCAGGAACATCTTACATCACTGCTCTGCTCTCTCTCCCTCATTTGCCACCTACTTCTGTTTTAATATTCCTCTTTTTAAAAAATGAAATTATCACCATTATTGTAGTTTTTATCTTCACTCAGCCCACTCCTCCACAGATAGCTAAATATGAGAAGAGTTTTCCTGCTTTCAGTTTTCTTATTCCTTGCTATCCTTAAAATGTTTTTAAAGGAATTTATTGCAAATTATTATGTACTAATATGAAAACAACAAACATTGGAAAGTTTAAAAGTTTCCATAATCTTTGAAAGGATCAGGTTGACTTCTTTCTGAGGTGGTAATTGAAAAGTTCCTTAGATTTCTGATGTTTACTATGGTTCTTGAGGTGGAGTCTCTCAGCTGCTTCAGTCTTCCTCTTGCTACCACAATTTCCCACCACTTGGACACCAAGTGCAATGGATGACAGGTTTAAAACTTTCTCTGCCCAAGTGAGTCATTAGCATTTCTAATGTATCCTCAGCAGAGGTGACAATGGTTTCTATCATTCCCTGGAAACCTGCAATTAAGGCATGCAACTTGTAAGCAAAGGATTTTTTTTTTTTTTTTTTGGTATAAGATAACTGAACTGGCCAAATGAGCTGGGATTTTGAGGAGAAAGAGCACAATCTTCCAAAATCATTTTAAGATAGAAATTTGGGGATACAGAGAAAGAAAGACATATTTAGTCTCAAAAGAGAAGTATACATGAACCACAGGAGTGCAGGAAGCAACTATGAACTATTGGAATGCAAAACAAGCAACTCCTGAGCATCCCAGCCCATGTTCTTGGCCCATGTCCTTGCCCATAAAAATAACATGATATGAAGGCAATGGGCAAGCAAAAGGAAAACTGGTGAAAACTGCACAGCTCTACCCTAACTCTGCCTCTAGTCCAGCCCTTAGGTATTGCCCCTCTAGAAATATCAATATCCCAGCCCAATGGATTGCTTCTCACTCTCAAAATGTCCCACATTCTCCCTTGAATATGTATTCCTTGCTTTATGGCCAAAGTTTCTCACCCTAGAGACAGCCCACATTTTCCCTTGAATGTGTCTCTGCTTTCCTAAATAAATTTCTCTGTGCTTCTGATGTATCCTTAAATTAATTTCTGTGATGGTTTTCCAAGAATCCCACTGGTCATAAGTTGTGTTCCCCTTGTGGAAACTCCTTGGATCTCCTCTCGTGACAAATTTAGTTGTATTCAAGGGCCAAAATATAGGGATGAAAAAGTAGGTACCTCAAGAAATCCCCTTTATATTGTTTCTTGATAAAAGGAAAGACTAGTAGATGAAGATAGAGGTAGGGTAAAAGGAAGATGGTTTTCTAGAAGCCCAGATGTTTGGAAGGATTAACAAGATCTTTGGAGAAGAGAGTGTAAAACATATATAAAACAGAAGTTATAATCAGCAAAATCCTCGTGGAGAGAGTGTGGTCTATGTTTAGGAGCACAAATGGAGTATGAGTTTAAAAGAGAAGTATGAACACTCCTTCTTAGGGCTGAAGGTGGTGAAGATGAATGAAAACTGAGACTGAGGCTTAGGAAAGCTAGGTGAGGAAACCCATGCTGGATCCTCTCAGTCAACCATAAAACAAGATTATTTTCAGAATTTGGAGGAGCCCAAGTATAATGGGGGCTTGAGGAGAGTTGAAATGGGAGATCTGGGAGATGTTCCCTGGTTTATATCCCTGATGAAGAAAGAAACTTGGAGAATCAGTGAAGAGCCAGGCATTTGAATAAAATCAGTTTGTAGTGGAATGAAGTGATTTCTTAGCCTTATCCAGAGGTGCCTAGTAATGTAGGAGCAAGTTCAAAAGAAAACATTCAATTAAATATAACAAGAAAAAATTAATGTTAACAACTTATTTTATGGGACATTATTCCTGTTGAAGTTTAGTAACATTTTAATCATTACGAACATGAAATATACAATACAAAAATAGTAGTCACATGCACATTTTAAGAAAAATACAAAATAAAAGATTATTGGAGTAAAAAAAACCACAACTAGCTCTATTTTTTCTTCTTTCCATGCTCACCTAAAGCATGAAAAATTAATATTCATTTTTTTCTTTCAAACACACAAATCTTTATTCAATGTTATTGAAAAAATTAGAACCAAATCATTGGTATCTTGACAGAACATTAAAAAAGTCTTATTTGTAAACATTTACATTTTACTTTTTCCATTCTCCTCTGAACAAACACACATCAAAAAAAGTCCAAAGAAGTCAAAAGCAGGTAATTTCCATGATGGCAAAGCATGAGACAGCACTTCCTGGCCCTGGCTAGTTCTTTCCTAATTCTGAAAATATTTAGGGGGAGCATTCACACGTTCACTTGTTTTATTCCTCAGTTTTTAACCTTTCACTGGATTGTCAAGTTTTTGCTACAAAATTGTGGGAGTCATTTTTCCAATCAAGATACCATATTAGCATTTCTCAGGTTACATTTTTATAATCCTCAGTTACAGTAAGATAAAAACCAATAGCAAAGAGTATCATCCAACTTAAAATTCAGAACAGTAGGTAGACATATGTAGCTTGCACACACATTAATCTGTTTCCCTCAACAAAATATTTGTAATTTCCAAAATCCTATCAGCTTTTTCACACAATATGGTCCCTCTAATTTGAGGGGCAGTAACATAAACATAGCTTATTTTTCTAACAAAATCACCAAAAGAAAGGAGCATAAGAATACTAGTGACTACATACTATAATGATATTGTGTTTAAAAGCTTAATATATTTATGAAGTCCTGCTTTAAAAGGTGGTATCTAAATAGGAAAGTCGTTGATCAAAAACAACTGGTATTAACAAACTAGCAGAGAGATTTTAAATGAATGAACACTCATTATTAAAGTTCAAGATTGTGCACTGATTCTATGCCTCGGTTCATTTCTTTATCAAATTTAGAGTTAATCTGGAAAGTAGTCAGAAAAAAACCCATCAACTGTAACCTATTTTCTTTTTTTTTTTTTTTTTTCATAAAATCATCAGAATGCATGAAGGATTGACTGTCACCTATATCCTTCTCCAGCCGGTAACCTCTTTAAGTCAAAGAGCATGCACCTGTCAACCTTACAGTGCAGAATGCACATACAATGGTGTTTAATAAATACTAGTTCCTGGAGGGCATGAGAGGTTTGCTTTGGGAAGCAAGGAACACACTGTTACGCGTTGATCGGTTGGCGTCTATCATTCAATTGCTAAAATATCATGCAAAGGAAATCCTCAATGAGTCTCTTTTGGGAAGGGTTTATACCTTTGAAGAGTCAAAAATCTCAGGCCACGTCCGCCTTAGGGAAGGAGGAGTGGCTGAGAACAAATCTAAATAGAATTGAAGTGACTCAGTGACGTCAGGAGGAAGCAGAGATTTAAAGGACGGGGTGCAAACTCACCTGGAGAAGCAGAAGCTGCACAGATGTCAAAAGTCAAAGGGCCTAGCCTTGCCGGCTCTTCAGAAGCTGGTAAAGTGAAACGCCCACTACTGGGCTCTCACAGTCAAGTATAAGTCTAGGGGCTCAACTGTTCATGCCTTTGACGCCAGAGGGAAACCCTACCATGTACAATTGGGTTGACAAGAAGACAAAGCAAACCTGCCCCCAGATTTCAGAGCCGGCGTTCGGGAATCCCCTAGTACTTCTTTCCCTCACCCTCTCTGGCGCCAGAGGCCAGAGACTGGTTCATCTTCACTCCCCACCTTCTCCAGGCCCTCTGGCTCTTAACAGCATCGGTCTCTATGGCGACCTGAAACCGCAGTTCCCATTGGCAGGTTCAATATGAGGGCCGGGCCAATGGGGAGGGTCAGCCTTTTTCTTCCGACCAATGGGGCTGTCGGGGAGCTTGTCCGGAGACGGCGGCGTGCTGACGTTCCCGGGAGCCTGGGGCTGGCCGGGCAGGCGGGCTAGCGGCTGGGCGGGCGGCGGCTGCGGCCTCTGGTCAGTAGAGGGGGCTCCGGGGCTGAGTCCGAGTCGACGCCGGCCGCGGAGGCGGCACCATGGGCACCGGGTAGAGGGACAAGTTGGCCACCGCCGCCACCGGGGGTGGTGGGAGAGCCTCTCCGGGGGAGGGGGCGGGTGGGGGAGGGAGGGGCGGGCAATCACACGGCCGCGGCACTTTTTTAATTTTTTCGGGTGCCGCTGCGGCTACCCTTCGGCGTGGATGTCCCAGATCCCTGGAGCGACGACGGCCGCTGCCTAACCTGGAAAGTAAGTGTGCGGGCTCGCGGGAGGGCGCGGAGACTCCTGCGCACGAGACCCCTGGCCCTTGGCCCCTTGCGCCCTAACCAGGACCTGCTCGCTGAAGGGACAGGCGTCTCCCTCCCGTTACTCGGTCCCCACCGACTCGCGGCCGCCTCGGCTTTCCTGCCCCGCCTCGTGTTCTTGCCCGCACTCGCCTGCCTGCTCCCCTCCCCCCGGCAGGCGCACAAGTTTCACCCTCCATTTGCTTTTCCCGGCGAATACTCTTCCCGGGTCTCCCCTACGCGGTGCGCTCGACCCCTCCCCACGTTTGCCTTTTCGGATTCTAAGCCCCCAGCGCCAAACTTAAGCGCCGTGCGGAGCTCTTCTGGACGTTTACCCGGCGGATTCCCTACTACCTCCCGCCTGGCACGCTGCCCCGCGTCCCCAACACCCTGGGGCGTCCGCCTCCCTCAGCCCTTCGGGCGGTCTGTCCGCCCCTCCAGCCCCAGAATCCGCATCCTGGCCCTTCTCTTCCTCCCACGCCCCTGCTGGCCTCACTGTCTCGTGTTTGCCCCCTTAGCCCTTCACTCCGGCGGGTCTACCACACTCCTTTCGGTTCGGTGCGCCCCTCTCTCCTCGTGGCTCGTCCTCACGCTCCACCCCTCCCAGTTCCCCAGCCCCAAACCTCCTGGCTGCCCTCCTGCGCCGTCGCTTCCTCCTCTGCCTGCTAGGAGTTGAAGCGGAGCTACTGCACCCCTTTGGCGAATCTCGTGTCCCTGCCCCTGTCTGGGGCTGCCCGGCCCTCTCCTCTCCTCTTTCCCCCTAACCGGGAAGTGAGGGGGCGTGCAGCGGGCCCGGGATTTGACTGTGTGTTGGCTGAGTGCGACAAACCTCGAGCGCGGGCAGTGGAGGCGCCGCGGCGGCCGTGGCCGCTCGGGGCGCAGCAGTAGTCAGGTGTGTGTGTCTGGGGTGGAGGCGGGGGGTGGGGTGGGGGGTGACGCGCATTGCCAGCTCCTGGGCTGGCGACAGATTGTGCCGGAATGCGAGGAATGCACCAGGGGCAGAGTCCATACTGCCCGCCAGGGCTTTGGTAGCGCCTTCCCGGCCCAGCTCTCACCGCGCAGCCAGAGGTCACCGGAGCATCTTCGGAGCTGGTGAGCCTCCTTTCACTCCTCTCCCCCCTTCGTTTCTCTCCATGCGGCAGAAAGGGCGGCGGAGGGGGAAGCGCTTTAGTTTCTTTGGGCTCCAGCTAGCCTTTCGTCTTTTTTTTTTTTTTTTTTCTGCATTGGTCTCCAGGACGGTGAATTTGGGGCCCGTGGCGGTGTAGCCAAGGTTATTGATCATTGCACAAGGCTCTTTGCAAGTTTGGTTTTCATGGTTTGCATAGCGCTTGGTTTTTACCAGGGTTTCCTGAAAACCTGCAGAAACAGGGGGTCGAAGGTTCTTGGAGTAATGAGCTGCAGCCAACACATTTTTAGCTTCATTAAAAAAAAAAAAAAGCCTGTTAGTGCTCATGGATGAGAATGTACTGCAAGAGAGATCTTGAATGCATCACTTTGCTGTCATAAGAATTGTAATTTTTTTCCTTGTCATACTGGGCTGTGTTTAGACCTTGTATAATACATAATGAATAGAAACAGAGAAGCAGTGTTTGGTCAGCGATGGGACAGATAGAACTGTCTGGTACAGTTAAATTCAGGATTCGGGGCGTGTCAGTTACCATTGCAAGTGACACAGGAACACCACAAATCATGTATATTTCAAGATGTAATTTATTCGTAGAGGTACCAGTTATTTCTTTTTTACTGGGTTTGACAAGGAAAAAAAAAATCCCTGCAGCCTTAAAACTTTTAGAAAATGGTAATTATTTATGTACAAAATCAGTCATGGTCAATGTGCATTTTTAGTCAAATTTTGTTTTCTTAATACAGAAAAGCAAAATTTTGACAGAAAATACTTTTATCGAATTGGGCTTTGATTTTTTTTTTTTAAGAAAGTGAAAGAATGCTTTCTCTCTTTCTCTCTCTTTTTTAAATATAGTATATTGCAAGTATATTGCTATAGAAGTATTTTCATTTCTGGTGCCCATGAAACATGAAAATGGCAACATGAAAATGAGAGTAACCCATGTCTGAATTAAGTGTTTCTGGATGTGGAAAAGCATACTATGTGTACTTTTCTTTGACACAGTTTGCTTTGGAGGTTGCATTTACTGTAAAGCCTCTCTGCACCTGGTTATTTTGTATCAAATTCAAGTAAAAGAAGTCAGTTGTCCAATCAGTCAGCTGTCTTCCAACCACTACTTTGTGTGACTCAAGGACATTGAAAAATATGAGAGCTTTTTAGTTAAGGACCCAAGGGAAAGATTGTTGTCTTTTGGTTACTACATTGTTCTTCAGTTATGTCTAAAATCAGTGAAGCTTCTAATTTAGAGGTTCAATTTATGTCCAGTAACACTGTGGAGGATATTGGAAGGTGTTTGTGAATGCTAACAGGAAAACTTTTATTATGTAACAATATCATATTACAGCAGAATTTAACCCTTGCCTATTTGATTTGATGTCAAGATTGGAAAGTAAAAGCATATTTAGTTTCTATGTTGCATGAGAAATTGAATAACCTGGGCTCATGTGTGTGTGTGTGTGTGTATATATATACACACACACATTTGATTGTGCAAAAAAATTTACCTGCTTCAATTAGAAATACATTCTGCTTGTTATCAATGTTTAAAGAGAGGAATCTTTTAAACTAATGATCTTTCATAATTGAAAATAATATGAATTATGTTTTGACCAAAGTACATGCCCTCTCTATTCCCCACTGTTATATAAGGAGAAGGTACTACATTTGGTGTCTTATATGTTATACTGAAGAGTAAATCAGGGAAATTAAGTATTAATTTTAACTCTTATTTAAACTGTTTTTGGAAGAAGATAGAGGAGCAGAAAGAAGGTATGGAAAGCATAAGAAGTAGAGGCAGCTGGTATTCAAAATCATATACATCTTTTATTGTTGCATTTACAGGCTGAATAAACCTATCAATTTCTGTGTATAATCCTGACAATATGAATTTAAAGATCCTACTGCCAAATTCAGTTAAATAAAACTTTAGCAACTGAATGACCTTGAATATTTAGATTGTATCAAATCACAACTGCAATTTTCTTTCATTTCTGATCCATACAAAGTGGCAAAGTAAATTTAATTTAAAAATTTGAAATTCATTTAATTTCTAAAAATTCAGTTATTGCCCACTTATAAACTGAATAACTGCCGTATTTTAAATCAGGGAACCATCTGGTACATTCAGTTTCTTATCTGACTCTTAGAAATATTAAGATATTTTCAGAATGTTCTAAATTCTTATTTTTTTTAATACTTCGATTGAGAGGTAACTCCCTTCCTTGCTTAATTCTAAAGTGGACAGTATACCTTCATTTTTAATTAGAAGATAAAATAGAAGTTATGATTGGTTATTAGCACATAAATATACATGGAGTTGTATGCGCCTTTGGGATGCCTTCACACTTTCAGCGTACTGGGAGATAATAAGTCTCCAGTGTATTAAATGATTCTGTAGTGCCCTTTCTGCACTGAAGGGGGAGGAATAACCTGAAACATAACACCAGTGGACTAGTATGTGTGGAGAATTAAATAACTATTTCATGGCCAGACTTTAATTACACATAGCTGTAAACACAGAAAAAGGACTTAAAATGTGAAGATGGACAGAGATGTAAGTATTTATGTACTACAAGGAAGCAATGATTGCAGTCAGCAGGTCAGTTTGATGGCCAAGAGTAAGAAATAACAGGTTCTTTCACGGTAAAGGACTCAGTCCCTGGGTTGCTAAGAGCAACAGTTTATGTGCTGGCTTCTTTCACAACATTCAGATCGTTCTCACATTGTCACTTATTAATAATTCAGAATTATCTTAATCTTATGGGACTAAGTTACCATTACTAAATTTGGGGTGTTACATGATGGTACTATTCAATTAAACTTAGAAATGCTTCAGACATTCCATTCATCATTGGCCTAAATTGTTTTTCTTTTCATAACTTAGATTTAGTTTCATTTGATGTACCGATAAATGTTGGCTACATTGCTGATCATCTTATTATTCATAGTCTTGATAACATAATTTATTATGACTCATAATGATTCATTGCAGATGATAAAATATCATTAGGTATTGGATTATAAAAATTTAGTACTATAAAATAAATAAAATATGGAAATGTCTGAATTTTTAGTCATGTCATGTGCAGCATTTTTCAGGAACTGAATAATGCCTGAAAATTGAGTGGTGCCAGTCCCTGTAGACAGATTTTTGTATCATACAGTTTTCACAGAATCCAAAACTCATGATACAGTGTTTGGTGGGTGGTGGCCAGGAAACCAGTTTGTTAATCTGGCTCTTGCCTAATCTGGATGCCTCTATACCAACAACAACATATCTGTCTGCTTAGAAGAAAAAACAGAAGCCCCTTTTCATGGCCTAAGTCCATTTACACAAAATACGAATGCTTGTGTCTAGTGTTCCACGTTGAATTTAGAGTGTGTGTGGGTGTTGTCATAAAAAAAAAATCATATTGCATATTAAAACCAGAGAACTTGGACTGTTAGAGTACTATGCAGGCTTTTGGGTCCTGGCCTGAAACTTAGATGGCAGATTATGAAGTCCATAATCTATTTACAACAGAGTTTTGGAACACTGAACCAGTGATGTTTAAAATTTTGGTCCATGATAAGCTTTTTCCTAAATTTCAAACATGAGAGAGACAAAAATCTCCCTGAACAAAAATTAGGAGTGTGCCAGTAACCCTCACTACCTTGACAAACCATTTGCTATTTGGACAATAGTGTCCTCCTTTAGAAATGAAGAATTTGGATTACATTGATCTTAATTACATTTCAGCTCAAGTTTTTGGAAGTTCTCAGAGTTTACTTCATTTTTGTTTTTGTTGTTGTTGTTTTGGAGGGGGGAGTTTAGAAAAAAGTTTCCTAAGCAATCTTGTTTC